TTTATATAATAATAATCCCCCCGGTTAACGATTTTAATCCGTGCAAGAGGGGTAATTGTTATGCGAAAAAAATCGTTATGTGAATGAATTTTCCCCATAAGAAATAATGGAAATAAAATTAATCCGTGCAAGACACCCAAAAGTATGAAAAAAAAAAATTTTACCACATGAAATATACATTTTCCCACACACAAAGAGAAGGATACATGCACAATAGTAGAGTAGTACATGCACAGTATATATTGTGCATGTACTAGTCTACAAAATGAAGAATAAATGACACTTACCTTTATTGAAGATGCAGCAATGACTGATGAGACACTGTGTCCTGGGAGTGCCTTTTCCTCCTGAGTACTGTAGGTCCTGTTTGGCATTTTCTTCCAGAACAGGCCTTATCACACTGTGTATGCCACTACGATTCTTAAATCTCTCAAACCAACCTTTGCTGGGTTTTTAAATTTCACCAATAGACACTATTTTAAGCTTTTTTTCCCTGTTCACCGGGTGTTAGCCCGACTTGTGTGGGTTGCTTCCTGGGAGATAAATTGGGGGACCCCAAGGGGGAAAAAATTTTTCTTTTCTTCGATGAAACGGGACTTTTTTGGGTTATCCTGGGTGGCAAATCCCGGGGGTTTTAATTTTTTCTTGGTATTCTCAATAAGCCCCACCAAAAAAGGGTGCTACACCCAAGCAGCAGAAAGCTGACAGGCAGCAGAAGCAGCAGCTGACAGTGCAGCCCCAGAAAGAAGCTGTCCCCACCAATAGTAGCGATGGTAAATTTGGGGGTTTATTATAAAACCCTGGCCAGCTCGGAACATCCCAACCCCTTTTTCCCATTTTTTTATCAATGATTTTTTTCTTCATCTCTATTGTAATTCCCTCCCCCTTATTGCTGTGGGGTTTGGGACTAAAGCTTTCTTGGGGCCCCATGGTCACTTATTTTCCAAAAAAAGCCCCCGGGAAAACACGGGAAAAAACAAAAATTTTCCGATTGTATGTTGGATGTTCCCGGGAGGCTGGCGGGTAAACTTTTGCCACCCGGAACATGTGAGGCTTTCTGGGAAGAAAATGGGGTAACGGGTTTTTTTTAAGCGGTATTGGAAAGGGAAAATTTTTCCAAATTTAAAGGGAAGGGGGTATGCGAAATAATCGCATTGATGCCATCGTTTCGGGGGTCCACTGTATATATATATTTTTATTAATGATAAAATATTTTCCCTTTTTGGGGGTTTTTTTTTTCTTTTTTGGGGCACCCCTCGGTGGGAGACGGCCCCCACTTGTTGAAAAAAAAATATATACAGTGGGGAACCCCCCATACCGATTTTTAAAAACCCTGCAAAAGGGGGGCATTGTTATGCGAAATAATCGGATGCGAATGAATTTTCCCCATAAGAAATAATGGAAATCAAATTAATCCGTGCAAGACACCCCAAAAGAAATGAAAAAAAAAAAATTTTACCACATGAAATATACATTTTTCCTACACACAAAGAGAAGGAAAACATCACAATAGTAGAGAAATACATGCACAGATATATTGTGCATGTACTAGTCTACTAAATGAAGAATAATTGACACTTACCTTTATTGAAGATGCAGCAATGACTGATGAACACTGTGTCCTGGGAGTGCCTTTTCCTCCTGAGTAACTGTAGGTCCTGTTTGGCATTTTCTTCCAGAACGGGCCCCTTATCACACTGTTATGCCACTACAATTCTTAAATCTCTAAAACCAACCATTGCTGGCTTTAAATTCCCCAAATATGACAACTATTCCAGGCATTTTTTTCCCTGTTCACCTGGGGGGTAGTCGACTTGTGTGGGTTGCACCCTGGGAGACAAGATTAAGGACCCAATGGAAATAAGTTAGCAGTCTTCGATGACACTGACTTTTTTGGTTATCCTGGGTGCTAACCCTCTGGGGTTAATTGTTTCTTGGATTCTCAATAAGCCACACCAACAACGGTGCTACAGCACCCAGCAGCAGCTGACGGTGGTACAGCAGCAACAGACGATGCACAGCAAGCAGCAAGACAAAATGCTACAGCAGCAGCAGACGATGCTACAGCGCAGCAGCAGCACCCTGACGGTGGTACAGCAGCAACAGACGATGCTACAGCAGCAACAGACGATGTTACAGCAGCAGCAGACGATGCTACAGCAGCAGCAGCAGCAGACGATGCTACAGCAGCAGCAGCCCAAATGCTACAGCAGCAGCAGCAGCTGACGGGGGTACAGCAGAAAACAGACGATGCTACAGCAGCAGCAGACGATGCTACAGCAGCAACAGACGATGTTAAGCAGCAGCGACGATGCTACAGCAGCAGCAGCAGCAGACGATGCTACGGGCAGCAGCAGCAGCAGCAGACGATGCTACAGCAGCAGCAGACGATGCTACAGCAGCAGCAGACAATGCAAACAGCAACGCAACAGACATGTTACAGCAGCTGCAGACGTGCTACAGCAGCAGCAGCAGCTGACAGTGCAGCAGCAGCTGTACCACCAATAGTACGATGGTTGATTGGGGTTTATTATACAACCTGGCCACTCGGAGACACGCACTCCACTTTCATACTTATCAATGATCTTTTTCTTCATCTCTATTGTAATTCTCACCCTTATTGCTGAAAGGGTTTTGGCACTAAAAGCTTTCTTGGGGCCCATGGTCACTTATTTTCCAGAAAAAGCACCGAAAACACTGTAATAATACGAAATAATTCCGATTGTAGCTTGGATGTTACCGCGGAGGCTGGCTGGTAAACAATGCCACTGGCGGCACATGTGAGGCTGGCTGAGGGCGCACATTGGACCGTTTTCGACGAAAAAACGGTGGGGCGGGTTTTTAAGCGGTAAAGCGAGGCAAAATTTTTGCGATTAAAGCAAGCGGTAAAGCGGGTTAATCGTTATGTGATGCCATCGGTATGCGGGGTCCACTATATAATTATATATATATATATATTTTAAAATATATATATATATATGCGGATTAATCGTTTTGTGATGCCATCGGTATGCGGGGGTCCACTAAAATATTATATATATATATATAATATATATATATATATATATTTTATATATATATATATATATAATAAATATATATATATTATAAAATATTATATATATTTTATATATATATATATATATATATATATATATATAAAATATATATAATATATATATAATATATATATATATTATATATACATACATACAAAACAGTGGACCCCCCGTTAACAATATTTTTTCACTCCAGAAGTAAGTTCAGGTGCCAGTACTGACCGAATTGTTCCCATAAGGAATATTGTGAAGTAAATTAGTCCATTTCAGACCCCAAACGCACCCTTTCATAAATACACTTACATAATTGGGGCGCATTCAGAGGTGATCGTTATGCGGGTCCCTGTGGGGTGTGTGTGTAAATATATAATATATATAATATATATAATATATAATATATATATATATAATATATATATATATATATATATATATAAATATATATATAATGCAATAAGATCACAGTAAACAGGTGATTTCAGAATATGCAAAACAACCACTGTGGGAAAAAATAGAGAAGTTCCAAGCACTTTCGTGACTACTCACATTATCAAGGAACAATGAAAGTAAAGCATCAAAGGAAGGTATATTAAGGGGTAGCCCACACCTCACTATCAGATCCCACAACAACGAAACACCTGACGCGAGACAGCAGGCCCGCCGGCCGAACTAGACAGGTCCTTAATACAACCCACCAACAAACTATTCTACCCAAGAAATAAGTAATTTAAAAAATTATTATTTGTCCAATGTATTATTAAATTCTTCCCAAATTATATTAATTATAAATGGATCTTATTTATATAAACCAAAGGAAATATTCATATTATTGTCAAAACTGCTTTTTATGAAACAAGATTCAATTATATTCCTGTCGACCATGGACTTGCTTGATACTACTTTCTCAACTTTTTGAAAATCAATTGGATGGTTAAAATTTCTTACATGAATAAATAGAGCATTGGAATCTTGTCCAGTTCTAATGCTATATTTATGTTGTTTTAATCATAGTTCGAGATTTTTACCAGTTTGACCGTAATAAACTTTATCGCAAATTTTACAAGGAATCTTATAGACACCTCCATCAGTATTTTGGGGGGAATTCTTTATCAGAAGTTTTTTTACTGTATCAAGATTTTTGAATACAACTTTAATATTAAAAGTCTTAAGAAGAGAAGGCATATCAACCAAGTTTTCATGGTAAGGGAGAACCAACATATTTTTAGCTGAATAAGGCTGGTTGTCCCTTTTTGGATTGTAAAAAGTATTTCTAGCAACTTTAAAAGATTTATCAATTACATTTCTTGGGTATTTCAATCATTACCCATTTCATAAATTTTGGATATTTCCTCATCTATGAACTCTGGACTACAAATTCGTAAAGCCCTCAAAAACATTGATGAGAAAACAGACAGTTTAACTCTATCTGGTTGGTCTGGTACTGACTTTAGGTGCCTGTCCAGTGCCTTCTTGAAGACAGCCAGGGGTCTATTGGTAATCCCCCTTATGTATGCTGGGAGGCAATTGAACAGTCTTGGGCCCCGGACACTTATTGTGTTCTCTCTCAATGGTGCCCCTGCTTTTCATCGGGGAAATGTTGCATCTCCTGCCAAGTCTTTTGCTCTCAGAGGGAGTGACTCTTGTGTGCAGGTTTGGTGCCAATCCCTCTAGGGCCTTCCAAGTCTGTATTATCATGTATCTCTCTTGCCTGCATTCAAGGGAATACAGAACCCTACCTCCCTTCCACATTACTCTTGCAATCACTGCCCTCCACATAAGTAACATTTACTGCCTCCCTCCCTCCCACACACCAGTGACAATTATACTGTGCCTAGTTAATATATAGTAATAATAAAAAAGAATGGGTAAATAATAATTATATAAGAATACAATCAGTAAAATTCTAAATATTATTTCTTTATTGTATGCAGTTATACTTACAGAGATTATATGCAGAAATGCTGGGGTCAGGATGAAGAATGGCTGGAATTGTTGCAGCCAGAGGCTCTGTTGGTTCTCCACACTCAAATGCTGTGCATCCACGGATACTAAACCAATACTCTGTATTGGAAACCAATCCTCCCACCTAGCCAGGAAATAAAGTGTATACATATTAACTAAACATAACATGAATGAACAAATGTAATTTCAAAATTAAAAACAAATATCTGTCCCCTCATCACTATTTTTTTAAACAAAATCTCCAAGACACTGCAGTAGTTTTTCTTTTATTGCTTTAGTGTTTTGTTTTAATGGAACACCATCAAAAGTTATTTTTAACCCCTTAACAACGTAGATCTACGTTGTTACCGCTAGCACTCCAATGAAGATCAAATTTGGCACAATTGGCCTGAGATGCCTGGTCAGCATAGAATGGGTCTTAACCCTTTCAGGGTCCAGAGGCCAAATTTCAAAGTGTGCACCTGGGTCCAAGAATTTTCACAAAATAATTTTGTTATTTTTTTTCTCATGAAATGGTAGAGAATCTTTTTCTGAAGGTAATAAAGCAAAAAGTATGAAATTTGATGGAAGATTGATGAAATTATGCTTTCACGAATTTTGATGTCAGCAATATTTATGCATCAGCGATTTTGCCGACTTTGACTCCCATTTCAGGCCAATTACAGTATTCCAGTCAACCAAATTCTTAGCTATTTCACTAGTATTACTTCTATTCTATCAATTGAGCACAAGAAATCGCCAAGTCAACTGTTTCAACTACAAAATAAAGTGACTGGAAATTGGTAATTTGGCCAATTTAATGCAAAGTTCAAAATATTCCAATTTCAAAATAGGGTCCAGAATAAACAACGCAGGCATTCCTGGCACTAAACTAACATTTCCTCTGTCCATTAGTTATGTTTTCAGGCTTTACAAATGAATTCCATTTTTATTTTTTATTCACATAATGAATTTTTATTCAAACCAAAAAATAGATTTACTGTTATGCAATACTGTAATAATTGTATAAATAATATCACCACATTTGTGAATGTATATTAGACTCACCAGTTGTCATGTATTAGACTTGTGAGGTCATTTGTTTACTCTTGAACATCGGCAAAAATTTAACATTTCTGCTACTTTGAGCTCAGTTTCAAGCTATTTCCAGTAATAAAACCAATCAAAATCATCTATTTCTGTAGTATATCTTCCATTCTATCAAATGAGACCAAGAAATTGCAAATACAACTATAAAAAACATATGGAAAAAACACTGCAAAGTCGCTGTTTTAATCGAAAATTACGGTTTCAGTTTTTTCTCTCTCATTATGCACTGTCTGCTGCAGGATTTGTTTTATGTGGTGCACACATACCACATAGATGTATTCTCTCATATCTAGGCCCAAATTTACTGCTCACAGCTTATCAGAGTGAGCTGAGCTCATGGCGTAGATCTACGGTTTGGACCCTGAATGTAAAGCCATAGATCTACGGCACGGACCCTGAAAGTGTTAACACTCGGTGTTCACAGTATTAAAAAATCTGGGACCACTTAGTATCTTGTGGGAGCACCAGTTCATTTGAGTGCCAGCTAGAGCAAACAGCGCAGCAAACACCAGGGATTCACTGATGTCATCATCGTATTAACACTCCCCTTTTAAGAGGAAAGTGATGTTGACCCTGAGTTTAGTGGCTTTGAGGTGGATGTGGCCACAAGTGGTCAAGGAAATATAAAAAAAAAAACCTGGATAATAACCCATGTGCAACATCCTTTTAATTCTGATACCACTGGTAGTGTCATCCTGCCAGAACGTCCTATAACCTATGCCCTAAGTAAAGGGGAACAATTCTGGAACGTGTAATATGTGTTCGGCAGGCTGGCTGGCCGGCTGGCTGGCCAGCTGGCTGACCAGCAGCTGACTGGCTGTCTTTATCTCCATCTGTCTGCCTGTATCTACAGTGGACCCTCAGTTATCATCTGTAATCTGTTCCAGAAGGTCGGACTAAGTCCTAAAAAGCCGAATACCAAAATAATACGTATTTCCCATAAGAATTAACATAAATACAATTAATCTGTTCCAGACACCCGAAAATATTAACAAAAAATACATTTTTTAAAGATTAACTATAGTTTTACACACACAAAACAATAAGAAAGAAATATAAAGCACTAATTTTACTAATAAATGAACATTACATACCTTTATTGAAGACTTGTTGGCATATGGAAGAAGCTAGGAGGGGAGAGGGAGGAGAATTTAATATTTGGAAGGGGAATCCCCCTCCATAAGGACTTCAGGTATCAAAGCCCTCTCTGGGGTTACTTCCTTTCTTTGTCTTTTACTGCCACTAAGACCAGCTTGAGAGTCACTGTACCCCTGTTGCACATAAAAACTGTCCAGAGAGGTCTGTTTCTGGCATCTCTAAGTTTTGCCTGAAGTGGGACAAGGCTTTGTCACTGAACATGTTGCAGATATGGCTTGTTTGAGTCTGATCAGGGTGATATTTCTCCACAAAATTTTGCAACTCACTCCAATTTGCACGCAAGTCCTTAATCACTGAAGAAGGCACATTCTTCCCTCTCCCTCCTCCTCCTCTGAAGCAATTTCCTCAGCTGTGGTCTGTTGCTGTTGCAGATGAAAGTTTTGCAGCTCTTCAGTGGTTAGCTCTTCCCTGTGGTCCTCCACCAACTCTTCCACATCCTGGCCACTCACATCCAACCCCATGGACTTTCCCCAAAGCTACAATACATTTCACAACAGGCAGAGGATCAAGAAGGTCAGGGTTAGCCTCAAACTCTTCAAAATCCTTCTCTTGGACACATTCTGGCCACAATTTTCTCCCAGCAGAGTTCAAAGTCCTGGAAATCATTCCCTGCCAAGCCTTACCTATAAGGCTTACGCAATGGAGGATACTGAAGTGATTCCTCCAGAACTCTCTTAGGGTCAAATCAGTGTCTGAGGTCACTTCAAAGTACCTTTGAAACATTGCTTTCGTGTAGAGTTTTTTGAAGTTAGAAATGACCTGCTGGTCTATGGGCTGGATGAGAGGAGTGGTGTTAGGAGGCAAGAACTTCACTGTTATAAAACTTTGCTCCACAGACAACTGGTCTACCAAGTTTGGAGGATGAGCTGGAGCACTGTCCAGTACCAGGAAGCACTTGAGTGGCAATTTATTTTCCTGGAGGTATTTTTTCACACTCGGGCCAAACACTTCAGGGACCCAGTCAATGAAAATTTGCCTTGTGACCCATGCCATTTTATTAGCTTTCCACAACACACACAATTTACTCTAGACAACATTGTTTTTCTTGAACACTCTGGGATTTTCAGTGATACACCAGTAAAGGCTTCACTTTGAAATCTCTACTAGCATTACCACAGAACAAAAGAGAAAGCCTATCCTTCATAGGCTTGTGTCCTGGCAGTGCCTTTTCCTCCTGTGTGATGTAGGTCCTCTTTGGCATTTTCTTCCAAAAGAGGCCTGTTTCATCACAATTAAACACTTGTTGGGGAAGGACTCCTTCAGCCTCTACGTACTTCTTGAATTCATGCACAAATTCTTCAGCCGCACGTTTGTCTGAACTTGCAGCCTCGCCATGCCTTACAACACTGTGTATGCCACTATGCTTCTTAAATCTCTCAAACCAGCCTTTGCTGGCCTTAAATTCACTAACAGCAGCACTTGTTCCAGGCATTTTCTTTACGAGATCCGCATGCAACTGCCTTGCCTTTTCAAAAATGATCACCTCCACAACACTATCTCCCACTAATTGTTTATCATTGATACACACCAACAATAACTTCTCCACATCTTCAGTTATTGGTGATCTTTGTTTCGTTAGCAAATTTACCCCTTTTGCAACATTAGCTTCCTTGATTTCTACTTTCATTGCCAGGATGGAAGGGATTGGATTTCCCATACATCCTGGCAAGCTCCAGAACTTATACACCACTCTCGTAATTTGCTACAATTTCTTTCTTGAGTTCTATCATGTTTCTCACTTTCTTTACCAAAGGGCTGGCACTAGTAATTTTCTTTGGGCCCATGGTGGTTTATTTTGCAGTTGCACTCAATAAACAACCACAAAAAACAACGGATTATAACCAAATGTTTGGATGAATGCGCAGAGCCTTGCTCACTCACCCAGAGAGACAGCCAGACTGACTCACAAACGCGGCATGGCAGGTGGGTGGACGTGTCCAATAAGGACAATTTCCGAGTTCCGAAATCCAGGATAGCATTTTAGCCAAAAAAGCAGCCGAAATCCAAATTGGCCAATATTCGAGGGTCCGCTGTATCACTGTCTCGGTCTGTCTCTTTATCCATCTCTTTCTCTGTCTATCTGTCTCTATCTCACAGGTACATATAACTACAATTATAGTGTAAATTACCTAGGATAACCCAAAAAATCCAGACAAAGTGCTATACTGTGCTTGTAGATATAATGCATAATAAGCATGACGGGCAAGTAATATGCATTTTCACTTGTTCAGGAATCAGACGTGACTACTCTGCATCATCTATAATACGTACCTGTTGGTTCATGAGTCACTCTCTCTGAGACAGAAAGAGACACAAGCAGAGACAGAAAGAGAGACAAGCAGACAGAAAGACAGATAAGCAGAGACAGAGATAAAGAGAGATCTAGACAGACACACAGACAGACAGACAGAGACAGAATGACATGTTTATGTGTAACAGTGAAAACAAATAAAGCCAAGGCAGTGCACGATCATCAAATGTCACTCCACTGCTACACTGTCAGCAGTGGAGTGAAACTTGTCTTACACCATGCTTCAAGGAAAATTATTATTATTATTGTTATTATTATTATTATTATTATTATTATTATTATTATTATTATATACTCCCATGTGTCCAAAGCATTGCTGGGACCTATAAATACTATGTACAGTGGACCCTCGAGTTTCACGATCCTCGCACTTCATAAATTTCGCCTTTTGACAACTTTTTTTGTTAAAATATAGCCTCGCGCTTCGTAATTTGCCTTGACATTCGTCAGTCGTCCAGAATGCATACAAGTGGCCTGCCAGCATCCATGCCACACAAAGGCGCCCCACACACCATTCCCAGTCAGTGTGGCATTGTTTATTGTTGAGTGACCATCACCCCACGCGT